ACCAGTTAGATTACAAAGAAAAAACATACAACAATGGAGCTTTGGTTTTTGAAATAAAAGGTGCTGACAAAAAAACACACTTAAAGGGCACTGATATTGTTGTAAGCGCCCCAAAAGTCGACGTTCCAAAAATTGGCGGCATCTTAAACTTTTTTACACTGTCTGAACCGGTCCCAACCGAAAGTTGGGTCAACAAAGAATTAGTGGTTGCAGGGTCAAAACAAGAACTGACAAAGGCGTCTGAAAATGAAAAAGCTCCAACTAGAATTGGCACCAAAAATAACCTCTTACGTTTGACCAAAACACATAACTGTTCCATAATTTTTGAAATTAGCGCATTGATGCTCAGAGTGTTGGTGGTTAATGAATACTACATTTCAAGTGACACCCATTTTTTCTTGCCAATGGCAATGTTAACTCTGTTGTTACACCCAGATTCCAAAAATGAGTGCTCATTTTACAGGTGGTATTCTCCAACTACTTCATTGCATAAAAACCCTTGGGAGAAGTACTTGGAATCTTTTAAAATCACAGAAGAGAGGGCCGAATTGTTCAACCAGTTTGAAGAAACTGTCCAAATAAAAGTCGAAATGTCGCACAAAACCACTTATTCTTTTAAGGAACTAAAAACCTTGTACAAAAAAATATTGAACGAAGAAGGCAATGGGGTCGAGCAAAAAATAGTATATGATTATTTAGCATTTATTGAATCGGTTGAAATTGGGCTCAACTTGAATTGCTGTACAGCAGATTGTGGAAATGGCATAGTTTCAAAGCTGCTAAACACATTTGACTTGCTAACAAAAACTGAAACAAGAGACAAGCACGAATTTGGCAGTGAATTCGTAAATAGCGCCTTCTTTATGTACATTGGTTTAACTGAAAAAGAGCTAGAGACATTGTCCAAGAAAAGTTTGACAGCAGAAAAAGCCAAAAAGCAAATAGAAGATTACAATGTTTCTGTCAGTTATTATCATGATGCTAAAAAATGTGAAGTTGGTGCGTTTTCAATAAGCGAACAGGTAGTGGAAAACCCCAAAAAAATTATAAAAACTTTTGTTGAAAACAACGACGTTACACAGTTAAACGTGCCAAGTGTAAGGCGAAAAAACGTTTTAAAGCTCCAAAAAGAGCAAGGTGAGGTAAACATAAAAAATATCATATCATTATTATAATGTCTTTTATTCCAATTTGCTCTGAGTGCAAGTTGAGGATTGCACACTTGAAGTATTTGACTATGTTGGGCGGAAAGATTGACGAAGGACAAATTTTTTATAATTGTTGTATAAATAGTGTAAAAAGTAGTACGAATATATACGAAGAAGGAAACATTGAAATAATTCCTTGGAAACCGATTGAAGAACCTGTAGTTAAGCTATGGGAGATAAATCGAAAAAAAGTTCAAATCCAAGCGAGACAGTATGTTCTCCCAAAGACTTAGTTGCAATTATGAAAGAAGACCCAAAATTTGTAATTAGGACACAAAAATGAAAGGATGACACAAAAGAATATTTTAATTTGTTAGTAGAGTAGTAATTTGGTAGATGGCAATTTTATGACATACAATTTAGATTTTGAATCGGCAACTATAAATCATTATCATGGAAGTGAAGATCGTCCTTCTCTTAATGTTGACTTGCAAAAGGCTTTAACGGATGAATAATTAAATTCACTGCTCGATCTTAACAAAAAAAAAAGGAAAGGCCGTTATTGAACTAATTAAAAGCAAAGAACTAACTAAGACCAGTTATCATCAAATGATCAAAACCACTGAAATGAAAACAGTGGAAACACCAGATGGTAATTTGGTAAAAACGTCAGTACCAGTAAATGATTATTACATTTCGTCAAGTATTACTTTAAAACGCCGCAATGAAAAGGAAAATGTTTTAACCACTGTTTTTTATGACCTTAGGCCAATTATGAAAAAGAAGTCTTTGTTAAGCCAAAACAAAGAAGTTCCTGAAGAACTTGAGACTAAATGTAGTAATGCTTTAAATGAAAAACATGTTTTTGAAACTTATGAACAATTAGTAAATAAATTTGGAACCAAGATCAAAGGTACTGCCTTGATCAATTTAAGTAGGGTTGTTTATAGCAATTTGCAAAATGCATTTACTGGCAAACCCAATGTAATAGTCATTTGTGTTTATGACGTTTCGGAAAACAGAACTAGTACAATACACATGAATACCATAATAGCCAAAATTAATGAAGAATTAAAAGACGTTTTGATGTAATTTGAATAAACATTATTTTTTTAGCGTTAAATAACGTAAAAATGAATAACATTGTAGCTTTTTCAAACTGTGCGACTTCTTTGAGCGTGCATAACGAAGTTGAGTCAAACGACGAAAACAAGTCGTACAAAGCATGGGAAATTAAACAAGTAAAACAAATTCGGAAAGGTTATGAAATTGTCGTAATCACAAATGACAATTTAAACAAAAACTTAATAAACAAAAGTGACTTTGGACCAATTGGTGAAGCATATTTTATTTCTGAAATAAATGTCGTTTGTTTCACAAAACAATCCTGGGGAATCAGTAAGATTCACCTTATCGAAGTTTGGGTAAATAGCAATTGCGTCTTACAAGTAGATCCTGCTCTAGCAATAGACGTATGGAATTTACAGACCAAAAAAACTTTTATGGATAATTTTGAACTAAAAATATATCCAGTTGCAATCGGCAAAATGGCATTTGATGGAGTTCCGTTTTTGGTCAACAAACACGACACAGGTACTGTGAAAACAGTATTTAGTGACACCTTGAACTTAACAAAAGTAGAAACGCCCATGACTAGGGTTAAAATGTACAATCCAGAAAGATTATCTGTCATACTAAAAAACAATTACGCTTTAAGTCCCAGAATTGAAACTAATACATATAAAACTGCAAATTTGAAGCAGTTAAAAATTGATATACCAACTTATAAATCAACGCTAGATGATATAATAATAGTGATGTCTTTTCTTAAAGATAATGATGAAACCATATCAGTGTTAAAAGAACCTATTTATATCAAAAGTTTGGAAATAAACCTTTCTAATATAAAACTTGTTAATAACTATCATACATTAACATATGAAAATTTTGATGTAAGTACATTTTAAGATATTGTCTAAATGGAAGATTGTACGAAGGCTTTAAAGATTTGACCACATTAAATCCTTCTACCAACTTGCAAATATTGATAGGATTTGTCAAAAAAATGCCAGACTTGTGCATAAAAACAAATGTTATAGTTATAACTTGTTCAAGTGTCGCAAATTAAAACAAAACACTACGCTTGAAATAAACTCATTTTTTTTCATAAAAGTAAAACTACTATCTGTGTTACATTATCATGGAATTAGGTCAATTTGAAACAGATAAAGGGTTTTTACAAATCAAAAGCTTATATAGCAGAAAAGAACCTTGGTTTAATCCGTCAATTTTTAGCCATGATTCACTTTTAGTGTTAGGGCCGTGGAAGCGAAGTTCGAGGCGAAAAGTCAATGAAACCAGTTTTGAAAGTGAAAAATGGCCAGCAATTATTACAATCGTAACTTATATTACTGAAAATTACAGGAAACATGGACAATTTTTATTTTTGCGCGAAGGTGAGACAGGTTCTGGGAAGTCATTAACTTTAGCACCTTATTTGTATTCATATTTTCAAAGCTCAACTAGTGTGATTTTAGCAGAACCACAAATAGCAAGCAATGGCAGATAATGATATTCACACATATCTGCAACTGTGCTAAGTTCTTGTCCAGTGGTAGCAATCTTTGTGAGATCACCACAAATATCATCTATTAAGTTTACCACCTGTGATTCCAAAACATCTTTTGCTGGATTGGAAGAAAACATCTCCATGTTTAATATTTTTTAAATCCTAGTAGCGTTTGAACCCTCAAAAGTTTTATAATAACCTTCAAAAACATTTATTATGCTATCACTAAGTTTTGACACCTTAACAGTGCCAATTAAACTGATCATTTTTTCAGGTGTATTGGCATTGTTCTGTAATACTTGTGGGGCAAAAGAGCTTGTGCTGTTCAAAGAATCCAAAAGACCAGTAGTTTTGTTGGTAGAACCAAATCCACCAAACGTGGAAGTCTTTGGACTTTGAAATAAAGTACTCATTTTGAGTTTTTTTTGCCTACAATCAAACCAAAGTAAGATTAATTTATCTGAATTTAGGATATTTTTTATAAACAAATATTTAAATAACTTATGATTAAGTGAATCAAAATGGAAAACTTTGCTGATTTTTACACTTTTGTGGAGAAATGCGCACATCCAGATATTTCATCGGAAGTACAATTTATCAAAGACACCAAGTTTGATGGCTATAGGTTCTCATTTGCTGGTTACACAGGAGATGAAGTTCAAACCAWAATAAGATATATTTCATTAAAATTGTTGGATGAAAAAAATGGCCGTTTAGACACTTTGTATCCAGCAGTTTTTGGAACTAATGAAATTAAGGTTAAAACAATGGCCGAAATCCCATTTCTGGTAGAATTTGTCAAATGTAAAATTCCAATTTCAGAAGTACCGCACGGAATAAGAAAACCGCCAGATTTCGAAAAAAAAGCTATTCAATAAGCCGTAACGACAGATTGCGCAAAAAAAGCAGAACTGACTATGATAAGTTGCAATTATTTATTGCAAATTCTAAAGATGCACAAAAAAAAGCAATTTTGGAAAATTACGTTAAATATGAACGCCTACTAGCTGATTGAAAAAGATTCATTATATTTTATCACAGGAACTAAGCTGTTGCATTCATCCACAATTGGCTCAGATGCTTGTTGATACTTAAAAAGACTATTTTTTACAAACATAACGCTCTTTTTGTTAAAAAAAAAACCAAAAATACTTAAGCATTTGTTCGCATAACTAATGGCCTGTTTAATTTGTTCTTTGTAACCTTTTTTGCTGATTGGAGCAAAAATTTTTATAATGTCATTTTTTAATAAGGAAACAGAATTAGTTACGTTAACTTAGCAAATTCATGAATATTAATAAGGTGATTTGACCAATGGCGTCCTTGATTTACATCACGTGACAAGTTTTTTATACCCCGCTAAAAAATCAAGATTCTTAAAGTCGGGGGCGGTTTTGAATTTTTCAGGGGAGTGCGGGGCTGATAATGAATACACGATGCATTAAACATTAGYGGTCTATCACATTTAAAACACTCATGTTTATATTCATGAGTGTTCTAAATCTGATAGACCACTGATATTCGATGCATAATACTTGCCGGGATAAGCAAATAAAAACAATAGCAAAACAATTCAATCTCAGTGACTTTACTAGCTGTTTTTAGAGATAAATTACAAATACAGCACGCTTTGTCCATTATATATCATATCAGAAGTAGCCACACCCATGAAGCAAACGATATATGATTATTATTAACTTACTTAATTTATTGTTTAATATTGAATGTAATTGTGCAGTTGCTAAAAACTGCATTATTTAATGACTCAGCTGAACTACTGCCRGTTGCTACAGGCTCACAATTTAAAGTAGGTGAGAAATGGCTAGTTGGCATTTCTACCTGAGCTAATAAATCATCACTTATACTGTCAAATTCATTTAAAAAGCATTCGAACAAATCATTTGAATCACCYGGTAACGGAATGTTAGATAGTTCAACATCACTTATTTCTTCTAGGATCTCTGATGCACAGCATTCTGTTACAACCTCAAAATTTGGTAATTCTGCGTTAAATTCCGATGCAGTAGCCGGAGGGTCCAAAATTGAACTAGCATTTTCTAGCTGTGCAGATGAAGGGTGTTGATACTTCAWAAGTGCATCCGACYGATGACCAGTTCGCTGTYGAATAATTTTTTCTTCCACACCTTGTTGAAATAATTTTGTGGCGCACGTGATTCTCAAGGAATGGCTAGTTTTTCTTTGTACGCCAGCTTTGCAACACAATTCATTTGGTAAAATGTTGTTCAAGGTATTGATGCCAAGTGGACTTTTGTCATAACTGAACTTACTAGGATCCCGATTTGGACGGAAATAAAAAGCTCCTAAGGATTCTGCAAATTGTTGTACTTTCTGAAAGTATAAATTATACATTGAAACTAAACATCTACTGTGATTTTCTTCTTTAATATCGTGGCATATGTGGGTCACTACTCGTGGAGAATATTTCATATCTTTTAGCCCGCCATGAAAGGTCTTGCTAAGACTTTCATCAAAAATTATCTTATTTTTGAAAACTTTGAAATTGTTTAATCTAATATTTCTGTGATCACTAGCACGTAAACCAAATAGTTTACCATTATAGAAGTAAATAGTATTTAATAACGTTTTGGCAGAACTAATTCCTAATAAACCTTTTTTCCAAAACAGTTCTTCTTCTTCTTCTTCTGTTATCTCTTCTCGTGTGGGTTTCTTGAACTTCTGCGAAAGTCCGTCTCTTGTTCCTCTCTTCATTTCGGCGTCAAGACTTCTTCGAAATTCAGAAAATCTAGAAAAAGAAGAAAACGATTTTATTATTAATATGTGTATTTTCTTCGTAAATTCATAAGATATATTTCATTAAAATTGTTGGATGAAAAAAATGGCCGTTTAGACACTTGTACTATAGTTTTCAAAAACAAAAACGAAGAAAGAAAGAAAGATTTTACATATTTTCTTAAAAGGTTAAATTGGTTAGACTCAGATATTGCTTCATATGTCCACTTTGCTAAAAAAAAAGGACGAAGTAAATGTTATTTATGTTAATTGTTATCAAGTTAAAAAAGCTAGTCCTGGTGGATATACAATATTAGCCGAAGATTACGATGATTTAAGAGAGTACATTTTATGTTTACAAAAAGATTTTGATAATTACGTAGCTTATTTTGACGATTCGCCGCCAAAAAACGATTTAAGATTGTTGTTAACTGAAAAAAATAATGTAAAAGTAAGTTATAAACTTGAAAAACTATTTGAATTTAATGTTAATTAATAATTTTAACATCATGGCTTCGTGTGACACTGTAAAGATAAAGCGACTTAAACAATCACCAGATATTCAAAGTGTCTATTTTACTTTTGAACAAAGAGAATTGTACGGAAAACGTGATTTGTTAATGAAATTGGATTATTATCATTTTGGACAAACAGATTCGTGTGTAATTCATATGAGTTATTACGGTAAACAAGATTCATATACTTTGCAGATACTTAGTGGTTCTAAATCTGGCAAGAAAAAGAAAAGAAACATTCCATTGCGCAATGTCGATGAAACCACATCTTTGTGTTTTAGAAATGCATTATCTTCAGTGGGGTTTCAAATTGAAATAGAAAATCTTAAGTCAGAAACAATTGAAACATATTTGGTTTAAATTATAATTATAAATATAAATTGACAAAGCAATTTGGTGTAATAAATTTGTGATGAAAAAAAAAAAAGGTTGAAATTAAAAACGTTTTCTCTCTCTCTTTTTTTTTTTAAGAAGCGCAAATTACGGTTTCAGTCAATTCAGTTTCCAAAATTTCATATATTGGAACCCTCAAAGTGATACTGACTTCGTTTTTGTTTTTGTAACAGAAATCCACTAAATTATTAATGGGCAATTTAAGCACCATAACTCCACTGTCAGCTTTAAACGGTGTCTTAGTTGATGATATTGCATAGTACAAAAATTCACTACGCACCAAAAAACTTATTCCTTTTGGAATATCAAATCCTTCACAAGAAGTGCAAAGCCCAATGATGTTTACATTTGCGTTTGGGCTTAATTCCTTTACTTAAATATTTATGAAATTTTTGTCTCTTTTGCCTTCAGAAGTTACTGCATTTTCTAGTATGAAATTCAAAACTGTTGAAGATTTATAATTTTTTGCATTATTTTGAATATTGTTTATCATGTCCAATGACAATTCAACCCTCAAATATTGATCTTCGTTCACATTTGGAATCAAAGTTATAAAAGGATCTACTAACACGGACATAAATACTTTGACTTTTTTGGTTAAAGTTTTTAAAGTTAATTCTTTGTTGTCACAATTTATATTTATCTGCACCCCTTCTCCGCTTTCCAGTAAAGTATCAAATTTTCCCCAAAAATCTTTTAAGTTGCAAACACTGTAATATTCAAAATTTGCATCAAGTTCGCTTTTAAAAGACACGCACCTTTGAATCGGCGGAACCGAGCACTTTCCACCATCAGTCGATTCTAATATTGCAGAACGCACCACGCATATCTGCAACAGTCCAAGTTTGCACGTTATTATTAATAAAATGATTTCTGAGGCTATCTTTTCCTTAGACAAGTTTGATATTAGCAAATTTCTGACAATTTTAGTGTTCTGAGCAGACAAAGTGATCGACTTGTGTTCAACTTCTGTTGGTTCCGAGGACATGCTTAACTATAATAATATAACATGTAATCAAACGCATACAAACCTGCCACTATCTTATCAAAATAAGGACTAAAAGTTTTTAAGTCCATAAACATTTCACTTACTAACAATGTGACAAAGCTAATGATATAAAAAATTAATAAATGGTACAACATCTTACTTGACGGTTCGAAATATGAAAATGTACCTAACGTATTCTTTCTTTGTACAAACCTCTCCTACTGTGGTGTTTGGCCACTGATTTAGCTGTTTGTTGATTAAGACCAATTTTATGGAAGTGCAAAGTTCATCAGTCTTAACGAGTCTTTTGTTTTTAATAGGAATATTTACTATTGTTTCGTATAAGCTCAAACTTTCTTCTTTGGGCAACGTGTTGCACATTTTTCCATTGGTATCTCTTCGTTTATCTTTGGGGTTTTCGGGTCGTTTTTCTGGCAATATTTTTTCTTTCATGTGGTTGTTCAAAAACATAACAATGCCAAATTCGTTTTTTAAACTTACACTTTTGTCAAAATTGGAATTTCAATGGTCCATTTTTTAGTTGTGAAATTGTGCAATGTCACATTTTTTTCAAACAGATAACCAACAGGGTGGTTCTGGTGCAAATAGTGCTCATATCCATGAACGTGACATGCCAAAAGAACTTCTCTGGTACGAACAAAAAACATATGAAATTTTTCAGTTCCACACTAATTTTTTTGTTTGACCAATTAACAATTGCCCATGGAACAAGATTAATTAAATCTTGCTTGGAAAATTTGAACAGATAATACACAAACATTTCATTCTTAAAATTAACAAGCATGTGTTCAATTTCGTCAATGTTAATGTCTTTATTGAATAAAGTGTTGAAATTTAAAGTGACTATCGAATTGCTTCCATCTAATGCCATTAAAGGTTTCTTAACAAACAAGGACACTAAGTTTATTTCCTGCACAGCATAAGATCCTTTGCCAATATGCACCAAATTGCAAAACCTTCCATTGTTTACTATCATGTTTGACGACGTTAACCTATATAATATTAATAAGCCCATACTACTGTCTAAGAACTTTGGGTCTATTTTGTCAGTGTTACCAGTAATGGTTCCCAATGCGCAAAGCACGTCACTCCTTGACACTTCACTAACATCCATGGTAGACCAAAAAAACTTTTGGTTCTTTATATTACTTACTATGTCATCTTTGTGCAACACTGAAAAAACTCCAAACATTTGCTTAATTGCCGATACAAGCTACTTTAACAATGTCCAACTATTTTTTTTTGCATAATATGTTGCCTCACAGATTTGAGACAAATCATCTAGTTTTGTCTTTTGTCTGTCAAAGCAAGCACTTCGTCATTTGAAATTCGATATAATTCGTCTAATATCTTTTTTATGTGCAAAAAATTTTGGTATTTTTGCAAGTATAGCTCTTCTTCTCTGCTGATCACACCTTCCAACTGCCCAAAGGCAATTACCATGATCTGAGCAAAACATTCAGTTACACTTAAAAATTCTAGTGAATTTGGCCTAGCGATTCTGGAACTGAGCTGATGACCTGCAGTGATGGTTGGAGGGACCGTTAAGCATTCTATGAAAGTAGTGTGGCTAATGGTATGCGGTACTCTTAAGACATCAGTTCCAATCAAGAAAAAACACTCTGTTCCTTGGCAGTTTGACGGCCTTCCAAAAACGTTTAATAATTGCTCCAAATCGTCCAAATAAGCATGGATTTCCATAAAGTGAATTGCGCCAAACCCTGGGCAACTGCGCGGGTCTTCATACACATCTGAAGGACTATTTGGACTCTTGGAATCAATTCCAAAAGCTATAGGAGTAAGCGCCAGAGCTTTCATGTATTCTATGGTTGCAATTGCAGTAGTAATAATTGGGTTAATGCTTTATGTGTTTACTAGGTTAACATCACCAAGTAATCCGCGAATTTACCAAGTTCCAATGCAAGGTCATCCAGCATTTACACAAGGAGTTCAAACTTGTTAGAGTAAAAGATATGTGTTTAACATGTTTCATGGCAATTATTTGTCGTTTAAAAGCACAAGAGCTTTCGTGTC